AGAAATATATGTAATATTCCTAGTATATAACGATAAAAAAAACGGTGGGCTTATCTGATAATATTTGGCCATACTGAATAAGACACACAGTGGTTATAGAATATTTAGCAAGATCAGTGCTGGAGGGATAGGATGAGAATATATTGTGAGGAGGGATAGGATGAGAATATATTGTGACGAAGGATAGGATGGGAACATATTGTGAGGAATGACAGGATGAGAATATATTGTGAGGAGGGATAGGATGAGAATATATTGTGAGGAGGGACAGGATGAGAATATATTGTGAGGAGGGATAGGATGAGAATATATTGTGAGGAGGGACAGGATGAGAATATATTGTGAGGGGGGACAGGATGTGAATATATTGTGAGGAGGGACATGATGAGAATATATTGTGAGGAGGGATAGGATGTGAATATATTGTGAGGAGGAACAGGATGTGAATATATTGTGAGGAGGACATATATCAGGTATAAAAAGCATTAAAAAAATGTTGAGCAGCTTGGGATAACAGAAGTGATGAGTAGAATAACAAATAATGTGGTTGCCAATGATACATAATGAGAGTAAGAATGGTTGTAAAATATAAATACCACAAATGGTGAAAAATATATACAAGTTAAGTGGTTGTCAAGACAACATAAAAGCAAATTTGGTCAAAGCTCAAGGATTTTTCAAGGAGACAAAGTGACTAGCAATACTAGATAACAACTGGGAAATATAGTTAGATTTTAAATGATTTGTGCAGAGGTATAGCAAATATCAAGTTGTTGTCATAGAGATAAAACAACAAATAATCAGAATGTCAAGGATATATAAGTAACATGGTTGTCAAGGAGATATCATGGTCGTCAAGGAGATATTATAAGTAACATGGTTGTCAAGGAGATATAGTAAGTCACACTGTTGTCAAGGAAGAATAACAATTCAATTGTTCTCAAGAATATTTGACATATCAAGTTGTCATCAGACAGATTTAACATATCATCAAGTTGTCAAGGAGATGCTAAAAGTCAAGCTGCTGTCAAGGAGATATGAAGTTGTCAGGGAGATGTTACAACAAAGTCAAGCTGTTGTCAAGGAGAAACAATACAAGGATCATCAGGTTTCAAATTGACTAGTACTAACAAGGATAAAGAAAGAGTAACCACAACATCAGATCCATGGAATAAACTGCATGGGTTTAGGAAATGCAATAGAAATGAATAAATATTATGCGTTCAAAAAAAAAAAAAAAAAATGGGTAGAAATAAAGGATTACTTTTAATTCAAGTAAGATGAACCTAAATTTTATTTAAATAATGATAAATAATACTTTAAAACAATAGTCTATGACAAAATATAATATTAATTCTTTCTATCATAATAATTTAAAAATCACTGTCTTCACTTTTTAAAAAAAAAATCTTTACTAAATTCTATCCTTGAGCAGAAGAAAACCCAAAACAAATCAAGAAATTTAATGAGTGGTCTTTTAAATGGTACTGTATACACTATATATTATATATTTCAGACTACCTTATACATCAACTATATACAAATAACATTTCTAAATATACATCATATTCTGGAACACAGTCTTCAGCCAAAATATATATAAAATTACAACTGAATAAATAATCCAGTAACATATATCCATTTTGTAAACTATAAGACCGAAAATTAAAAACCTTAATATAAATACTATAATAATCATGGCACATTTTCTTTTAAATCTGTAGTAAATCTTATAAACGAGAATTCAAATTTTTTTTTATAAAATATACTGGCATTTCTAAGAATCACGTCACATGTAGACTACATTATAATAATCATGGCACAATTTCTTTTCAATCTGTAGAAAATTTTATAAATGAGAATTGGAATTTTTTTTATAAAATATACCGGCATATCCAAGAATCACATCACATGTAGGCTACTACTGAATAAAACAACTTAAAATAACATCTATATATTAGATATCTATTTCCTAACATTACATTAATTTTACAAACATCAACTATAAATGATCATGGATGTTCTAAAAGATATCCCTTCAATGCTAGTACTGTATTCTTCAGTGGATTAGGTGCACTTTATTTACCAAATATATAAAGCTTGATAGATAAACATCTGTAAGAAGTATTATAACAATAAAAGTTTGAGCTTGACCCAGTTACAGGAGCTGGTAGGTGGATTTAAGATAAACATTGGGGTTTGACCTGGTTACTGGAGAGATAAGACTTGTATGACATGTTTCACAAGGTGCTGTAGAAAGGTGCCCCTAAGTCCTAAACCATGCAATTTTTATTTTTCTTGGAACACCTCTACCAACCTGAGCATGTGCCTTATCTATCTATGCGCCTAATCCACCGACAAATACAGTAACTCAATTCTGAGAATTACTAAATCATAGCCACCCAACTAAACAGCCTACCAGTATATAAATTGAAAACCTGGTGAATCATGTCTTTTAGGGAATAGTTAATTTCTGGTAGTCAAACGACAGTTCTCATAGTTATCGCTATGCAAAGGATACCAAAATAGAAATCAGACTAAACTGTCTTCAATACGCAGCAGATCATTTGACAGACTTTGAATCTTTTGCAAACTACATTGTTGCGAAAGTTGAATATCTAAAAAACAATGTTGAATTTATAATAGGAATATTAGTCCAAAAATGGTTCAAATCCTTTCAGATATCTGATGTATAGAACATTTTGCAACATTCGTTATTGTTGTTTTCTTTTGTTAATCAAAATTTCAACACAAAAAAATTGTTTATGGCATCAAACTGATGGACCGGGTACATTTGAGCAAAAATAATAATGTACAAATCTCTTACCAAAAATAACTTTAAAAAGAATGAAAAAAAAAAATATATAATCATTTTGCTTACCGGTACTTAAATCTACATGTATTTACAAATATACCAAAAATAAGGTTTGACAGAAAAAAAATAATATTCATTTATAATATATAGGAAATTATTGCGTCTTAAATATTTGATTCTTACGCTGCAAGACTATGAATATACACCGCCAGCAGCTTTGCAAAGCTGGGTAAATGTCGTTCCAATATATCAAATATAGGTTTCAATGGCACAGGCAAATACTTTAAGAAAAATTATTTATCCTTCTGTATTTAACAAACAAATTATCCAAGTAAATCCATAAGAATATATGTGAAAGGGGCAATAACCCTGTTTAAAAGGCTCCCCTTCATGACCATCTGAAAAAATCCCATAAAATACCAAAAAATAAAATCTCAAAAACTTTGACCTGTAGATTGTTTACATAATGCAGGTTCTAGACAGACGGACTGGGAGGATAACAATAAACACCCAGATAAATTGTTGGCATATAAAAATGTTTCTTTACTAAACTTCATAACCTCTTTTAATGGGAACAGTTTTCTACCAATATCTGGAACTTGGTAAATGGTTTACAAGAATATAGATCTATTATTTACCAATCTCCATTTCTTGGTTTGTGTAACATCACAACATACCTACAATCTTTAAATTTTGAATCAACCTTCTTTTTCATCATTTATTCTTCTTGACCCATGTCTTGCCAAGACTGAAGGTAAGGATTCTGATTAAAGCCAATACAAGTAGAGGAAATTTTAATCGATTTCTTTTTTTTTTACATTCATTTCTCTCGAGTCTTGCCCCACGTCTTGCCTAGATTGAATGTGTGGATTCCGACTAAAGCCAATACAAGGCAAAGTAAAGATCTGCTATTTTAGTAAAATCTTGAGCGTAATCCACAGGTTAAATATATCACAAATGTCATATCAAAATAATATAACCTAATTCTATTTAAAATATAAAATATCACCACAGAAATATACATGAAAATTTTTTTTTTATTTGTTTTTCACTTGTAATAGATCTTAAAGAAAAAACACGCTAAAAAATAAAATATCACCATGGAAATATACACCCCAAAAAAAAAATATTTGTTTTTTACTTGTAATAGATCTTACAGAAAACAAACACGCTAAAAAATAAAAAGCCACCATGGAAATCTACACCGAATAAAAAATACAAGAAAAGAAATATCAGGTAGAAATTAATGGCTTAAATGAAATATAGTACCTTAGGTTGATATGTAAATCTACTATGCTCTCAGATCAATAATTAGATAGTAAAAAGACTAAATTCTTTTCATGCGTATTGTCTTCTTATTTGGTTGAGTTTGAAAATATCAAATTGAATTGCAATCTAATTAAAATATAGATCTATATTTCGTTTCGTTTTTTATACTTTCGATGACCTACTTACAAGTAGATGTAACAAGTTATAGTGGGAGTTCACGTTCTATGACATCAGGTACCAAGCAAGCGACATTTGACCCGATTATGTCAGTCATTCGATTAACCAATTAGCGACCGCCATGTATTTTTTTATCTACTTTTGCTTTGTTTTGATTTCTATTGCCACTAATGTCTACCCACAGTTCCGTGCAAAAAAGGTCAAACGCTCGATTTGACAGACCATTTGATTGGCTGACACCTCATTTCAAGCAGAACACGAGTTAAATAACAACACTTCCAGATCCAAGTGTAGTAAAGACAACACTGTAACCCAGGTATCGTTTAATCTTGTGTATCTAGCACTAATTTCTTTCACATACGTTTAATATTCAATCTTTGTTTAAAAATTTGTAAAAACTGTTTAAAATCACCATAAATCGTTTAATTTGTACTTCTGTTCAGTTAAAAGATGACCATTCAATTTTGTTAATAAGTGTCCAATTTACAAGTGTTTAATTTCTCAATCATTGTTAAAAAATAAATGATCCAATTGATTAATGATGTATAATGATTAATTTTTCAACAGTGATCAGGAAATTAAATGCTTGTAAATTGGACACTCATTATCAAAATTAATCAGTCAGCTTTAAACTGGACACATGTACAAATTAGATGATTTTTGCTGATTTTAAACAATTTTTACGAATTTTTAAACAAAGATTTGATATTAAACGAATGTGAAAGAAATAGGTGCTAGATACACAAGATTAAACGATACTTGGGTTACAGTGCAAGTAAAATCAAAATTTTGAACTATAAAAACGAAACGAAATTGGATCTGTGTTTTAACCAGATTGATTAAATTGTATACATGTATATCATATATAGAAGGACTTCAACAAATATTGTTGGTAGCCATGATGACTAATCACTTTATTCTGAAATCTGCCTTAAAGTCAAAGTAAAGTCATAGAGTTTCTCAACAACTCTTTAGTTTAATTTGCTATCCAGTGCTTTATAAATAGATTAATATTAGTGCAGGTGACCAACCTACATGTTAGTGCTGGGTATTATCACTGCAGTCACGATAGGATACATATTGCGATACAGGTGCTACAATATGATTCACATCACGATTTCATAACCAGGTCAATATTTACCAAGAAAACAACAGGATAAATGAATAATTGATGAATATCTTTAGTCCTGTTGATGTCGAAGAAATTAAACTATTTTATATCGCGATATAGATGTGGATCATTTCAACGATATAATTATCGTGCCATCACTACTACATGTAGGCACAGATTGTACCAAAAATGGCACAATGGACCATTCCAAGTGACAATATACACCTTATCATAATACTGATCTAATATAACTGAACAAAGCGATAAGTACATTTCGGCCGTAGAGGTTATATTATATGGAATGGAAAAGTTTGGCCACCCCTGTCCTAGTGTATTTCCCATTTTCTTCAATAGCAATTACAGAGAATAATTTGTTCTAGTTAATTACGAATTAGCTTTGGCCTCAACTAATCTCAACGAATGTAAGAGTATTACATACATGTATAGTTGTCATGGTTACCAGAAGCAGCAGATCACTTCGTCTGTCTGATTTATGGTTGTATTTCAGTATTTGTTGGAGTTGGTTCTTGTGGCGGAGGGAGTTCATTATTTTCAGAAGATTTAGTAATTGACTCATTGGCTTGTGTTCGTTTAAAATATGTCAGAATTGGTGGTGCTGCTCGGATTCGATTTCTGAAGCGAGTCCAGGTTTTACTGGCACTGAATCTTCTCCATCCCTTTTTGCGTTTCTTCAGACGCCCAGCATACGGATCTTCTTTGGTCGGCTTTTCACGTCCATAAATCATGATGAGGACACCCAAGGTGACGAAAGCAGCTAAACCAGGAATAAAGGCAGTGCCCTTGGCCGCTAATGGGAAATTCTTAAAGTTCGAAAACATGAAGCTGTCTCCCATTATAAATGTTAGGTTCGTATTCGGGTTGATTGTTGTATTACGGAAATCATACGTTATCTGTGACTCATTGTAGATATCGAGACTATATTGATCAAGAACAGTGTAGATGTTGTCATCAGGACCGACGTACTGTCCATAGGCATAGGGTTCATAAAATATTTGGTTCTTCCACATGTTCAAATCGAGTAGAATGACGATAAACAGTATACCATAATTAAACCATTTACCTGTCAAATAAACCAATTACATGTAGAGAGAGAGAAATAGGGTTTAATGTCCTCTCGACACAAACTAGGTTATTTTGGGACTGATACATAGTTCAATTTTATTTCAATAATTTGCTTGTGCAGTCGGAGAACACAGAGAAAACCCATGAGGTTGGACAGCCGACCCTTCTCCCTGTCACATACAAGCAGGGAATCGAAACCATGCCACTTGATTCAATGACAGACCTTCTGATCTAACACCACCCTGCCCCCACTCATTACATGTAGTGTAGGGGTATCACGTGGCTAAGTGGGTAAGACGCTGGCTCGCTAGCCTGGAGGTCGGGTGTTCGATCCCTGCATTGGCAGAGAAAGTTCATCCAGTGATGCAGGACGGAGGGCCTGACAAGGACAGCTGTCTAGTCGTTCTGATGGGACCGAAAACCGAGGTCCCGTGTACATATTGGCGTGCACGTAAATTATCCCTTGGCAGTTGGAATTCGGTAGGCCATAGTGCCGCTGCCCGGGCAAAATTTCCCTCATAGCACACTGTATGGCGTTGCCCGTCTTCATTAGCCCAGTTTAGAAACAGAACAGTAGGACGTTAAACCCCATTTCATTTCATTTCATTTCACTCATTACATTTATACTCTCATGCAAGCCGGGACATAAAGCACCAGACTTAAAGCACCTGGCGTCACAGACATTGTAAGACCAAACTTATCATACAACTTACAATATATACATTGTGTGGTAATTTGCCTCCGACAAAGTCTGCGACAGGTGCTCTATGTCCAGAAATGTATATATACATTGTGTAATAACTTGCCTCAGACAGTCTATGACTGGTGCCTTATATCCACGCCTGTATACATTATGGAATAATTTGTACTTGACAAAGTCTGTGACAGGTTCCCTATGTCTAGGCTTGCTCTCATTTTACAATAAATAGGAGTTGTAAGGAGTAAAGGTGGCACGGTAAGTATGACGATGACTCAGTCACAGACTCGACAGTACATTGAGATCTTCCAGCCTGGTTTTTCCACCTTGCAAGATGGAAGGCCTGAGAGACCGTGCTCCCATTGTATACCATTGCCATGCAAGATAAAGATCCTCTGACCGTAGCCTCGCTGTCTGGGTATGCCTGTCTTCATTAGACCAATTTTTGTAAAAATGTAAGACGCTATACTTCACTTTTAAGCAGGGAATCGAAACCATGCCATTTGACTCAATGACAGACCTTGTAATTTCATGCACATGCTTTAAACCACTAGAACACCTAACTCCCCCTTATAAATATAAACAATTTTACTAACCTGTGATATGTACGAGAACGATCTCTTTCCTGAGGAATTCTGGTATAGGTATTTGAAACTTGATATGAGGTGTGTTTAAACCGGGTAGTTTGATATCTAATACACTCATGAAATGGGGGAAATCCCAATCCTAAAATACAATATATATAATCACTCAGTCTAATTACATAAAACTATATGATTACAACAATCACTGGTTTATTATACACAGGCACTTGAATACCAGAAGCCATCAATTTTCCCCAATTAAATTGCATTTCACATGCATTTTGTCTTCGTGATGCTGGTGCTGTGTTCAAATTATTGTTTAACTTTCGGAGGAATTTTCTTTCGACTATGCCGCCCCATGTCCAGTAGTATTACGCTGGGTGAAGTTAAGATCAAAAAACCACCTGCATCTTTATCGATCAAAAGAGTGGGACCATTTCGGTTTCTCGTTACCAATAAACAATATAATTTTGAAACATTGTGTATTCTTTTCATTATTTCTAGCAAAATTTGGTTAATATCACAGTAAAACATGTTTATCGTGATGCACAGTGCACACGTATCGTTGGGCTAGGATATGATACTGTATCATATCATGGCACAGCGTATCGTTTCAGCCCTACCGAAGACAGCTGTAAAAGGAGAAAAGGAGCAATACCAAATAAACAAGCATCGATGCCAGATATAAAAGAAGCAATGCCAGATGTAAAAGGAGCAATGCCAGGTGTAAAAGGAACTATGACTGTTAAAAAAGAAGCAATACCAGATGTATTAGGAGAAATGCCATATTTAAAAGGAGAAATGCCAGATATATTATAAACTAATGCTAGGTTCCCACTGTCGTGCGATACGTTACGATAGGATTGTCCCTATTGAGTCCACGATCTGTTACGTGCAGATACGTTTCAATACTATCAACATGAAAGCTACAACTGACCTAAATATATAAGACTTGATAGGATCACCACGATTACTCCAAGATTAAAACTACGATTTCAATCGCAGCATGAATCATGATAGTGGGAACCTAGCATCAGTAAATTTAACTAGACGGTTATAACTTTACATACCTGCATGACAATAATTATGTCGAAAACAAGAATAAACGAGGCAAGAAAAGCTCTTGACAATTCATTCGTCGGCAAGAACCCTCGATTTAACTTGTCCCATTCAATATAATCTGTTGTTATAACAAAAATCACAATAAAAGACATCAATAGCACAATTATCCAGAACGCAATAACTCTTCGATATCCAGTTTTCCACCATTTTCTAAATCCCACTGCCCAATTTGGATATAGCTTTTCTTGTAACATCATATCTGTTACCTGAAAATAAACAAAATGTTGTTTGAATGCCTCTGATCTTCATTTGGAGCCACAGTGGCTAAGTGGATAAGCCGCTGGCTCGCAAGTCTGGAGGTTGCGTGTTCGAACCCTGCATTGGCCGAGAAAGTTCATTGAGATTTTCCCACATGGTTTCCCCTTGTCAGCATATCCTATAAATGTTGGGTAAAGTCTTTTGATGGTCCTCTTTTAATATGAATGAATCTATGCCAAGAGATTATCTACTGCCAATAGTTGGGTTTGGTTTATTTAAATAATGAACTTAGTACGTTATAGCATGGATTAACGCACTAGCATTAACTATTTTACGAAAAATACATAATTTGGCTTGGCGATCTTAAACCTTTTGTCATCCAGCCACTGTCTTTGAAGTAGACTACAGTAATTGTTGGCAATATTCACTGACACAATACTAACAGAACACAGTTTTTATGGGGTACAATCACTCATTTATTCTAAAAGCACAACGTTTCGACAAGTATCCTCTTATCGTTATCAATTTTATTTCAATAATTCGCTTGCGCGTAGGGCTTTTTAGCAGTTGGAGGAAACCGGAGAATCCGAAGAAAACCCACGAGGTTGGACAGATGACCCTACTCCTTGTCACGTACAACCGAGGAATTGAAAACCATGTCAGCTGACTCAATGACAGACCTTAAGATACAACGTGCATGCACTAAGCATTCAGCCATCCACCCCCCCACCCCATCATGAAATACAACAAAGCAGAGTAGTCCCTGCAGAACAGAACTACACATACATGTAGACTTATATAGAATAAAGTGTTATACAATATAAAATGTAATTTGTTACCATCCAGGCTGTGAAGAAATCACCACACCATGTTCCACAAGCAGCCGCTTTCATAAAGAAAGAATTGGACACGCCCATGAGATCACTGATATGAAACGGTACGGTATAATCTCCACCAATCAGAAGGAAGGCATTATACAGGAAGGAGAGGATAAATACGCATAAAACAACACACAGGAACATCACCATCCATGATCCCTGATCCTGTTGAAACATTTTTATACGGAATACTCGATCTGAAATATAAAATAACTAGTAATTACAATAATTCAGATGGGAGTTATACATACAGGCTAAGGATGAGAGTTATACATATTGTACATGTAGGCTAAGATAGGAGTTATATACATGTAGGCTAAGATGGGAGTTATACATAGGATAAGACGGGAGTTTATATAGGCTAAGGATGGGAGTTATACATACATGTCATCTCTGGTATCCCCGGTGTTTTCATTCCGTTCTACTCCACTATACCCTGGGTTAATCCATAGGGTTTCCACGATTTTAATTATCTGCCCTGGCCTTGATTGTAGATAAGGTCTACGAACCAATCAAAGAACAGTTTACAAACCAGTCGTTTCGCCTTTGATTTTATAAGGATAATTAACCAAATTCATGTCCATTTACTGAATGATTTATGTAAATAATGTATATATGTCTAATTCATTTATAATTAATTGTATTATCAAAATATGTACATGTAGTATGTTTCGCTGATTTCAAATGAAATATGTATAACATCTATATGTTTGACTTTTGTTATTATTATTACTATTCATTCTTTATCTGAAATGTTTCATTCTTTTATGTTTATTATTATTAAACTTATACTTGGCAATTTCGTCCGGTCTTCATTAATTTCATATTATATAATTTGTTGTTAGTAAGTATGCATTTAGAAAAATTTGAACTTTTCTCATTTAGGCTAACTCCTAAACTTGTCCGATGAGAGTTACTTCCCTTTGCCAACTTCCTTTTCAATTAACGATGCATGGGATTGGTCGATAAAAATAGCACAATCATCAAGGGTGAATAATTTGAAAACGTGTCTCCCCCGTAGATTAACCCAGGGGTTAGTGGAGTAGAACGGAATGAAACCACTGGGGATACCGAGGATGACATACATGTAGGCGAAGATAGTCGCTAGGTTAAGATGGGAGTTATACATAGGCTAAGACGGGAGTTATATATAGGCTAAGCATGGGAGTTATACATAGGCTAAGGATGGGAGTTATATATGCTACGGATGGGAGTTATACATAAGCTAAGATGTGTTATACATAGGCTAAGGATGGGAGTTATACATAGATTAAGAGGGGTTTTACATAGGCTAAGAAGGGTTATACATAACATAGGCTAAGGATTGGAGTTATACATAGTGTAAAGATGGGGGTTATACATAGGCTAAGGATGGGAGTTATACATAGGCTAAGAGGGGTTTTACATAGGCTAAGCCTGTTCTCCAATCATATTCTGACATCCTGAATAAAGATAGGTTGCCAGGCAACAAAACATACGCCTGGGGAGTCAACAAGAGTTGTCACATATTTTTACTTTTTTCGGTAATTAAACTTTAGCCTCTAGAGCGTCACAAGATTTTTCAAAGTGATCAAGGACCATAACTTGGGCAGTAATTATCGGAAATCGTTGAAAATCAATATGATTCTTCATCTCATGACCTCAAACACTGTGTATAAATTTAACTGTAGCCTCTAGAGCATTTACAAGATTTTTTGAAGTGATCAAGGGCCATAACTCTGGCAGTAATTATCGAAAATCGTTGAAAATCAATATAATTCTTCGTCTCATGACCTCAAACACTGTGTAGAAATTTAAAGTAAATCGGATATTAACTTTAGCCTCTAGAGCGTCCACAAATTTTTTGAAGTGATCAAGGGCCATAACTCTGGCAGTAATTATCGGAAATTGCTGAAAATCAATAGGCTTCTTCGTCTCATGACCTTAAACACTGTGTATAAATTTAAAGTCAATCGGATATTTACTTTAGCCTCTAGAGCTGTGGACGCCGGACGGACGGCTGGACGGACGGACGGGGGTGACGACAATATACGACCACATTTCAATGTGGGCGTATCAAAATATTGTTTTTGACAGAATAGCGATGTTTATCCTATAACTTTTCTGCACTGGTTTTTCGTCCCATAGGGACAACTAGACAATGTTCCATGTACCATGCCAGAAAATCCTGAGGAACTTTCTCAGTCAACACTGGTACTAAACTGGGAGCGAAATTATAGTAGGCTGTACCACATTGCTTGGTGTATGTCCAAATAAAGTTGAGCATACATGTACGTCATACAGTATGTGCGTGCTACGAGGGGAATTTTCAGAATAAATCTCTTGAATATAAAAGAAAGAAAACAAAACTTACTAAAGAGCAGGCTATGAAACACTATCTTTCCAATCAACATTCCGATAATTATTCCAACCAACCACAGAAATACTTTTAATAAACTCCAAGCATCAGGTGGATAGCGGGTACAAACAAATGCAAAATCATTCCCAATAACCGGTATTGTACATTCCTTAAGACTGTGTGCCACTGGATCTTCCGCGTAGATTAAAAAATTACAAAAGGTAACAAAATAAGCAACGAATATTCGAAACCATGGATGTTGAAAATAATATCTGAAGTCTTTTTCCATGAAAAGCGAAAACACACTAGCGGCATCAACATCGTCCTTCTTGGGTTCAAGATCTGGGCCGTCAATACTTGCTTGAGGTGCCAAAGAGTTATTGGCCTTGTTTTTCGGTGTTTCAGGAATATCAACTTTCACAATTCCATCTGCATCATCTATATAAGGAAAGGCCTCTGGAACAGTGTCCGTGTCATCCAAGTCTTTTGCCTTGGCACTTCCATTTGTCGAAGCGTCTGCACTTTTATCTCTTTCAGGATCCTCTCTGCCTTTGTCCTCCATTTTTTGGTTTCCAGTCAATGGTTCACTTTGCTCCCGATCTTGAATGGAAATATCATTAATAGAAGCCATAGGGGAATGAAATATATAATTTTTGAGGAGTATTAAAAAAGTTAAAAGATCAAAAATGGTTGTAAAATATAGTTGTGATGTAATGGCAAAAGATGACTGACGCGTTGAGATTCAAGCTGTTAGTTAAGCGTTAAAAAAACAGATCACTGAGTTCGATAAACCAAACACATGCCATGATCCGTATTCGTGGATTAAAATTCATGCTGAGTCTTGCAAACAAGAACAAAGGTAAAACCAGAAAACTATTTCTATATCTGAAAAAACAAAGAGATAGAAAAAAAAATCTATAATCTATAATCTATGGTGCTAGTGTAAATAAAATGTAATTATAAAAACTACTAAAACATCATTCATAGTTCTTCTAGTTTATTTATTAATTAATTTGGCCTTGTGATTAAAATCTATATTCTATAATGGTACTAGAATAATAAAATGAAAATAGAAAAACTATTACAAACAGTAAAAGATGCATTATGTAAGAGCTAAATCTGTTTATTAGAGATCTTTCTTTTGGGCTCAAGTATTATATAAATTATTAATTAGACATGTATTAACAAGACAAGACCATAATTCTCTAGATCACTGTATGGTTATGATTTTGAATGGATTGAAACTATTACATGTAATTAGACATGTATAAACAAGAAAAGTCTATAATTCTCTAGACCATCGGATGGTTTTGATTTTGAATGGATTGAAACACTATTTCACCATGTAATAATTTAATTAAAAAATGGATTATCGAAACATTGTTTATTATCGTAACAATGGTAGCAATGAAATAGTCATTTCACTGAAAGTTTCCTATATATTCCTTTTTCATTATCTTTGTTAACAGCTCTTTATCTAAATCTTACATAATGCATCTTTAACAACAAAATATTATTCATTCTACAGCCTTACTCCATTTATTAAATTTTAACTCCTGAACAAAGTCTTAGTCCATTCTAATTGTGTTATATGATATATATTATAAAATAAAATGAAATGAAATGGTGTTTAACATCCTACTGTTCTGCTCCGACTGGGCTCATGAAAACGGGCAGTGTGCTTTGAGGGAAATTTTGCACTGACAGTGGAGCTACAGCCTACCCTTATATCAAATTCCAATTGTCAAGGGATCTTTAACATGCACATCAATGTGTTTCATCCCCTCCGAACAACTTTACGTTGTCCCTTGCCAGGCCCTTGGTCCTGCACCACTGACAAGGAGAATCCACACTGAAAATTCCTGATAAACTTTCTCAGCCAATGCAGGGATCAAACACAGGACCTCTAGGTAAGCGAGCAAACGTCTTACCCACTGAGTCACCATGGCTCCATATATATTATGTATATGCTTTCAAAAGAAACCAAAGAAAAAGGAAGAAAGTTATATTATCAAAATAACAAAACAAAAAACAGACTGTACACAGAAAACAATTTTTATGGGAAACAATCACTGGTTTTATTCTAAAGGCAAGATGTTTCGATACAGTATCCTCTTATCATTTCCCAAAAACATTGATTCTGTTAATGTGTTATACATTCACTATAAATGCCACATAAAGATCATTATATAGTTGATTAGCAAAAAAAGCATGCAATTAATCTTGGAATTGGACTCCGAAAAAAAAAGAACAACATAAAACATATCTAACTTTAGCTTTTAAATGAAATATATAATGCGTAGCCACAGCCCTACCTGCTAATATCTACCATTAAACTCTACAGAAATAATTTCTCCTACACAGCAGTATATCAAATACAAATAGTAACAATATATTATTGTCGGAATTCTGTACTATACAAAAATGTCTCTACTCTATTAAGGATAGAACTCCTGAGGGAAAAAGAATGCGTTTAATAGCTGTTAGCTTGAAACATTGAAACTTGTCCAAAGGGAGATCCTATTTCACTCACTTGAGTATTAGTATAATTGATGATACATCTCCAGTTTAAACATCCTGACACAAACTGATGACACGCAACACAATAATATCTGTCATATATATATAAAGTCTTATAGATAACGGAACTTGCTAAAAAAAACAGCTAATGTACTGCTGTACACACACATATATATACATATATATATATAACTGCATTGATGCAATTACCTGATTAGGCCTACTAATAATGATCCTTTGATATTTGCTAACTAATCGTATTAACCAATAATAAATTGATGACTATGTTATCCAGTAACTACCACGTGTATATAAACACAGTAATAATTGAGTCTATTTACTTCACTTAGCTACATGTACCTACATGTGATGATGTGGGTGTGACAGTTAAAGCTACATGTACTGGTTATGCTTGACTACATTCACAATTACTTTCTATGCCCTTAATGGATAAATAAGTCATCATGATTTATGTACATGGCGGTCACAATTAGGTCAACATATAATTAAAGGGGGTTAAACCTCTAACTCAATATTTTCCATGAAATTTAAAAAAAGAAATAAAATTCAATATTGGTCTATTTCATTCAATATTGATGTTAATTATCTTGCTTTGAAAATAAGAGATCCTAATATCTAATATTTAAGACATAGTGAACATTTTAAAATCAGTACACGAGTCGTGTATTTCTAAGGTTTCGGCATCATTTGTAATGAACAAAGAAATAACAAGCCTACAAGACAATGCAGAAGTAATAAATAATGGCTGTTTCACAACCAAGAAAGTTATAATAAAAAATGTGTACAACAATGGACTCAGCAGCCGTAAACGAGTGTCGTTCAATTTGGACTGTTCACATATTTCACTGAATATAACTGATTAGAAATTACAATAAAAAGTTTAAAAATTAAATATTATATCACTTATATATTAATATGTGCTTTTAGAACGGTTTTCATCTATTTTAAAGTTCCAAAAATAAAAATCAAATACAATTAAAAATTGTAAATGGCCCCCTTATCAACAGTATTATAAGTTTTAATTGTATTTGATTGTTATTTTTGTTGCATATTCTGTATATATTTGTCTACTCTATTCATATATTTGTATCATTTGTTTGATAAAGACGAGAGTATCATCATTGACATGTCACATATATAGTATTAAACTCAGTAATTAGTGTTATGAAGAGACAATAAACTAAATTCCATTGTTGTATAATGTTTGTTAAACAAAAGTAGACTGCAGACTTAGAAAAGCTTAATACTTTTTTAATATAATATACAATCACATTTCAATGTGAGGCATTTCAAAATTAAACTAACTTTAGCTACACGAAAGATAGATCTTCCAAATTCCAATAAATAATGAAAATCCACTTACAAAGCGTGCTGCAGTGTTTATTAGCTACTCCAGTGTGCACTGTTTATAAATCCACTAAGTTTAAAACACCAAACAAGATGGTTTAAAAGGCAATTTTTACACTTAGCTCAACTATTATTACTACTGATAGCAGATATAGAAGCATGCTCTTATTATTTTACTTCTGGATAAAGTAGGAGATTATTACGTCCACACCTATAATCCCAAGATAATAGCTGACAATGATCAAAACTTGCTTCAAACTTTCAGTCAGGTTAAGTAATTTAATAACTAGAGAGGTGTGGGTGTGACAGAAATTACAAAACTGACTATAGCTCACATCTATTTATTTAAATGAATCATCACGGATGTATTTCGACAAAATTTATTATTATGCCATAAATAACACCTGTCTTTCCATTCCTCAGAACAAACAAAATGGAAAACAGAGAGAGAAATGGGATTTAACAGCCACTCAACACAAACTAGGTCATTTCGGGACTAACATATGGTTCAATTTTATTTCAATAATTACCTGGCTCAAGGGGGTCTTAAAGATACATTATGTAAGATTTAGATAAAAAGCTGGTCATTGTTGCTACAATAGCTCAAAAATAGATAATGTAAAATGAAAATGTTTAAAATTTTATTCAAATTATTTCACTCTGAGCCAAGTTATCACATGTTGGTAGTTTTGACAAGATGTGTGCACAGTGGTAACCAGGGCACTGGTATATTCGAGACTTAGCCAAGAGTTGATTACAGTATGGTCTTGTTTTGTTAATAAATGTCTAATTGGTAGTTTATATAACATTTCAGGCCTAAAGAAAGACCTGCAATAGACAGATGTAGCTCTTGCATAATATATGTTTAAGTATTGATAGGAAACCCGAGGACCTGCAAAAAAAAAAATCCACATACAAGCCAGGTCCAGGAATCGTAACCATGTCACTTGACTCAATGATAGACCATTCGACCACCCAATCCCCTAAATAAAAGAAAGAATGATGTACAATATGTCATTTATTAATGACTATAGGCAGATGAAATATGATCATAACAATATACCAAAGAATTTAACATTATATTAATTATATACATCTAGGAATGGAATGGAATGGAGTTTTATTGCATATCAGCTCCAATCGGGCTATATTGTGTCAAACATATGCTGAATATACATCTAAGAATAAAGTCATAAACTATTAGACATACTTATGGAAGAACAATTACTGATTTATTTAGGCGAAATTTCGAAGAGTATTCTCTCAATGTTTTCAAGCAATTACAGTAACAAATGTATAGGGCAATTATATATAGACAAGCAATAACAACAAATCATAAACCACGCATGACAACAACAAGATCAAAGGCAAGACCGTGTATTTATAAAGTCATATTTCAGTCTTAAATCTGTGGTTGGGCTTCACAATATAATAAATAAATAGCCAAACACATCACTTTTTGTTATGTTGTGTCCCTGTTTATATTCTTTTTTTAAAACAAAACTCTAATTGAGCAATTAAATATAAATTCCTTGGAGCAACTGGATCATTCATATTATTTGATGGTATGATATTTTTAATGCACAAGAAAAGGCAAATAATTGCCTAATAAACTCACAATACACTAAACAAGTTTATTATCAAAGAATGTCAACCATTGCATCTAATGTTGTCATCCTAGTGTGTATGTGCATCAAAAGGCATGCCAACAC